GGCATCTCGGACCACAGCCGACAGCAGCGTCGCCGACTCGCGCATAACGGGCCCTCTATACGTCGGCCCGCGCGATACGCCTACGCCCACTGCTCACGGTCAGCGCTCGGATTCTCCCAGTACGCCTACAGCCGCAGGTAAACGCAGCCGCTTCCGTCTTCCCACGCCCGGTAGCGGGAACCGTCACTCACGCGTGGGCTTGCCTCCCGCAGAATACGAAGACGTCGATTTCGACGTGCGGATGGCCAGCCTCGATGCGCTGCCTGCTACGAGTGGGATGAGCATGGGAAGGCGGAGTAAGGACGATGCGTGGGTCGATATTCTGGTCGCGAATCATGGGAGGAGGATGGGCGGGCAGGACGCGGAGATGAGGCCTGGTACTAAGCCGGCGGGCGCGAGGGAGAGGAGGGGGAGAGGAGGCGATCCGGAGGTGGCTAGTCAGGAAGTGGCGAGGGCGTTGGAGGAGCTGAGCATGAGTAGAAATGGGGAGGAGAGTGATGAGGAGAGTGAGCCGGAGCCGATGAATGTGCCGTATCGCGAGCGGGATCGCTTGGATTCGGTCGCTACGGACGTTACGCAGCTCGTCTCCCCCGACGGCGATATGGTCCGGCATGAGGATGTGTTGACGCCTCAACCGCAACCTGTACCCGAGGCCGAACCTGAACCTAAGGAGTCTCTCATTCCGAAGAGACGGCCAGGATACTTCGATCTCCACCCCGAACGTCGTCAAGCCACCCCTGTCCGAACAACGCCTTCCGGTGGCTCTCGACCTTCCACGGCCGACTCCGAGCACGATGAAGAGGACTACCCACCCGTCACACGCGCACCGGCTCAAGACGACACTGCAAGCAACGCACCGACAAACACTAGCATCATGATGCCTGGCGGGCGCATTCAACTCCGGAAAGTCCCTCCGCCCGCAGAGCCTGCACCAAAGCTTGCAACAAGCACTGGTACACCCGGCCGCACCGCCGCCCTGATCGAAATGTACAAGCAGCGTGACGCAGCAGCCGCCACCCCGCCCGTCATCTCCCCCTCAATCTCTCCTTCCAATTCCGGTAACAATTCCCCCGGCGGTGCCATTCGTCGCTTACCCCGTCCTCCCAAGGATGAGCTCCCACTCCCGCCGCGCCCGATCGACAAGACGCCCTCGCCGCCGCCGCCTGCCCCGTCGCAGGTGCCGGAGATCGACGAGGAGAGCGTGGTGGATGATGAGAGCGTTATTTCGCCGGAGGATTTGGAGCCGCCGAGGTTGGTGGAGAGTGTTACGCCTGGACGGGAGAGCCCGTACAGGTATGTGCATGGTGCGCCGTTGCATAATGTTGTGGAGGAAGAGGAGGAGGAGGCGTGATGAGGCTCGGGTTCATGGATCGAGAGTGGAGATGTGATGCCCGCCTGCCCGTTTACACGCTACCGCTGCTTGCTGCTTGCTGTTACTGCCTGGGATTGTCCCCTCGACTCGTCTTTGCTCGTGCCCGGTCTGCTTATTGTTCTGAATCTGCTTCTCTTCTCACTACGTACTATGCGGCCCCATCGCCCCTCTTTATTCTTATAGCTCGCATCTTCGCAGTGTCGACATTATGCTCCTACCTACTCGTCCATCCACTCCAACTCAATTCACACTGTCCTCCAACTTCCAATATCCAACTGTTTACCATACCCGCCTTGCCCCCAGTTCCTCACCCCCCTCACCATACATACAGAAT